CTGTGAAGAAAGCTTCATGGGCTGCGAGTTTCAAAACTCACAAAGTATTCGCGCTTGTCCACTGCGCCATCAGCCTCCACTGCTTCAATACATTTACGATACCATAGCACTTGCATATCAGGCCGATCCTCGTCACAAATCAACTGTTCGTGAATATTCCTTTCCGCAAAAAGCATGCGTGTTCGAATTTCTGTTTCTGCTGAAAACAAGAAAGAATAAAAATCTCAAGATTCTAAGCGATACTCGTGAACCACCAAAATTATAGGTAAAAGTGCCTTAGAAATATAGAGACTTGTTGACTCGGAATTTTTTTCAGCAAGTATAACGAGTAGGCATTGTGTTCATATTGATAACATATTTTATATAGTCTCCCCTTCAGTTGTAAAGGGGAGCGATGCGCATCAGGAGAATGTTCGACCCTTATTTCATTAAAGCTGGCTCTTTCAAGACCTGCCTGTTTTCTTTTTCACGCCAAATGGTTAGTGATTACAAAGGAAGAAGTTTGCGTCGCATATCAATCCTGTTTTCCGGGTCTCCCTCAATAGAATGGAAAATGGATCCATGTTCAAATAGAAATGCAAAGGAAGCAGTAAGAAGTTTGAAATGAGTCATCATTTTGTCGTTTTTTCGTGGGATTAGCTCATAGCTTAGTGAAGGGTTTTATTTTTCAACAAAGCTATGGGCTGAACTCAAAAAACTACGCGAAAACAACATGTTGGTTCCAATTAAGGAAAAATAGCCATAGATAATATTAACAGCAACAATCTTTTATGGAAACCTACGGAATTCATCAAAAATTCGTCGGCTGACATGGCAAAACATATACTGCTCGCACTTGGATTTTATGGAAGCACTGATTTCACGCTCAATAGCCTTGCGCCTCTTTTCCGCCTTAATGGACATTTATGAAAAGAAACTGATGATAAACAAAGAGCTGGTAAGTGCAGAGATGCTATACTACCTGCTTTTGCAGCTGAACTTCAGACAGAACCTTTTTTGGCACCTTCCTCTTCTTCTTTTCTGAAGGCTTAAACATTTTCATTGATTGTAGAAGCTCAAAAAGTGCCCAGAACGAGCATAAACCTCAATGAATTCTTCGCCATCACCATATGATACTTCTTGAACTTCAACGCTCAGCTGACCCGTAATCTTCACATGTGAGGGCGCCCTGAAACAATATTCTAGAGAGATTGCAGGGGAGGTGTTCAAGTTATTACCTGAACTCAGACGGTTTTGTTAGGTTGTCTTCTATATCCA